TGCGGCGGCTTGCGACGAAGCAGGCATTCTTCACGCTCTCCTGCTTCTCTCGCTTTTTTGAGATACTCCTCCCCTTCAATGTTGAACGACACTTCTTTGCACGACTCGGTCCATCCTATGTCTTGTTCCTGCCCAAATCAAGTGCTAAAGGTTAATAGAGAACATTTAATATAATCAAGAAATTTAAATCATTGAATAATAATAAAGTAACAGTAAAAATTGTTGATCGTACATATATTTACTGTAATATATTTAATAAAGTAATTAAATTATTTGAAATTTCGATTAAAATAAAATTAATCGCCGATATAATTTACCATTAGTTTGATAATATTCTTTTTACTACAGTATGTAATTCGGCAACTAATTTACAGCTTTTTCTCGCAATCAATAAAAAATTCAAAGATAAGATCGTTCTAACAAAAGTATTGAAGATAATCTATTTGTATCTTATCACAAATATATTTTATCCTAGCTATACCTTTCATCTATAGCAAATAAGCTCGCCTTGAATTTGCGAGTATTTATCTTGCGTACAAATATTATCATATTCGGTTTATGTTCGCGCGTCATATCCGTTATATGTGTGTTATTTCCGAAAACTTTTTATTCCGAAATACGCGCATCACTTTTCTTTCATAGTAGATTAACAAGTTAGCGATAAAAAAATTAATCTTTAAAATTATTTACGATCTCCAAAATATTTAAAAATTTCCATCACGTGATTTTTAAGCATATAGAGCATGATATTTTTTGAACACATATAAACTCTGCCAATAATATTTTTGAAAAAATAATAAAATATATATGTTTTTCTCAGAATAAATAAATTTTAAGAGGACATTTCAATTTTTAGATATGCTCCAAAGACCCTTGAAGCGATTAAAATCGCATTTTTCTCGACGACCTTGCTGTTGTTCACGGTACAGCAGATCGCGAGACATGCTGATAATAGTCGTTCATTCGCCACGACGGAACATGTCGCGTAGACTTCGATACGTCCGATTGCATCGCGTGTCAGTCGGATAAAATTCCTACGATACCTATGACACGCGTGGTCACTTCAATGACATCGCGATCGTGCATGCGAACGCGCGGAGATGAACAGCGTGTCGCTTCTCTCTCTCTCTCTCTCTCTGTCTCGCCGCGCAGATCGACCAGGCAAGCCTTTCAAAGTAGTTCTGGAGCGAACGACACGGGAATGTAGTCTTCGAAAAGGAAATCGACACGAGGATCGCGAAGAAGTCAAGGCTGGATATTTCTGTCGTTGGCTCGCGCACGTAACAGTCTGTTTTCCATCAGCGATTTTATTTGGTTTATCTGAGAGACCGCGTGGTATAAACTGCACATAGTCCGATCCGATTATCTCTATCCGCTGAACTTAAATGTAATTTTTTTATCGTGGTTCTTGTGGAAACTTACTAAGGATGATTGGCACGATTTTTAAAGCTTGCGGCGCAAAAATATATAATTAAAGTGTTGTTAAATATTTAATGGATATCGCGTTCAGTATGTTTTTCAAAACATTATAGGAACAAGAACTTTATGAGACTACATGTATTGGAGAGATCATATTAAAAAAAAGCAACTATCTTTGATGTACATGAATATTGTGAAAAACGAAGATAAAGTCATTGTAAAGGAACATGGCACAAACAAAATGATTAATTCGATCCAAGTGACTATAAAAAAAGTCAGGGAGGTCTCATGGAATTTTATTAGGACTCGGAGAATTAAAAAAAAAATTCTTTCTTTGATAATGTTGCTTTCATATTGTAAACAATCGGCAAGTCAAGTGTGAATTATGTGTTTAAAACATATTATAAATATATATCTATTTTTTCGTTTATATATCCAATGTCTAACGAAATAGTGAATAAATAGTACATATTTTTTATTGTAATTTTTAGTGATAAAAAGATGAAAGATGAAAATTTTAGGCAAGTAAAAAATGTATGTTTATCTTACGAAAGCTATTCAGTTTGTCAGTAGATTTGCAAATCTAGCACTTGAAATCTAAGATGCTTTGTGTTTTTCCTTCGTATGAGTGAAAAACATTAGAAAGTGCATATAATGAAAAAACTTATTTTAGAAAATTGTAGCAAAAAATTTTAAAAATATTCTTTTTATCTGGAATTTTAAACAAAAATACTTAAACAATCAGAGAATTTTCAGGAAATTTGTTTACAAGATTTGTATGAGAAATTTAATCAAAACAGTTACCAGAATGCATCTAAATCGACTCCCTTAAATTTCATGAAATATCGCTCAATGCATGGCGTTGGCATTCTACTGTATCGCAGATCATGATATGGTGGATGTCTGCGGAATCGCAGCTGCGAGTCGCATACGTTCTGAAAATATCGCCGCTGCTATTCCGTGCACGCAAGCGCATCTAAAAAATCTTCCGAATCGTATGAAAAAAAATTCATCAAAATAATCTCCAATATTATAACAAATTCTACAAGTGTTTTTATACATATTCGTCCTTTTTTTTCGACAGTCGCAGCATCGCTTTTCTTCTTATATCCGAAACTTCATCGAAAATTAATTTCAGCATTCATGGAAAATATTTGCGAGAAAGCATGACTGCAAAGTATATAGCCAATATTAAGTATAAATTATTTCTGATGTTTAAACATAAATAATAGTGTTAAATAATGCAGTTTAAATAAGAATTCTGATGCAAAGCTGTTTTCTTAATCATGTATTATAGTCTCGATATATTGATTATTCAAGTATCTTTTTTATTATCACCAGTTAGTTTGTCACAACCGACCTCGATATTAGATATCCACGAAGTTTTATCCATCGCCTCGGCAACAGACGATCAGTGTTGCATAATCGCAGTGGGATATTACAGCTGTCAACTATATCCGTATCAGTATACAAATGTATGCAACTCAGAAGAGTGCAATGATATGATAAACATTAAAGTAACATGTGTATAAATATTTTCATATTAAGTTCAAGGATGATCGAGTCGCTGGCAACGAGCAAACTGACTTTTTTGTGAGACGTTGCGACGTCTCTTCGTTCACATAAATACTCATCTTTTTTTCGAATGCGACGAAGAGTCGCCGTAACATTTTATGGTGCATAAAAAGATTATTTTATGCTGCCGTGATCGTTGGCTTCGGTCTTTTATTAAACTATGTCAGGGTGTTTTACGGTCATCGAGCACTCTGATCATCATAGACTATAAACGCCAACCTATGCGCTGCCGCTTTCATAGAACGTTCAATTCATCTATGGTTGATCTCTACCGACCGTATTACATGGAACTACTTTGTACCTTTTATTAATACTTATTATTAAGAATCTTTAATATTGACATGTGTCATAAATTATATATGTCACGTCATATAAATGCCACCATAAAAAATTAACATAATCCGAGAAAAAGTAAAATGGGATACTGGTCTGAAACATTCTTTGATATCTCACTTCGTTTCCGAAAAATATGCCCGCGTCACTATAAATGCCGCACCCTGTATACAAATCTCTTATATACATCAGTTCAATAAACTTACTATGCAAGAACATAGAATTTAAATATACACACGATGCTTATAAATATATGATGTTGTTACTTGTTGTCAAAATAATTCGAAATCGAGATAAACCTATTCGTTATGATAGAAAATCTTTTCACAACAGATGCGGGATTTCTGTCGCATTCACAAGCCGATTTATCTTACAGCATCGTTGAGGAAAAAAAAGATCATTCGCGTTGGCATAAGCCGCAAAAATTATATTCGCGTGTATTTCCCTGCTTCTGATGTCACACACGTGGCGAGACGGTAAGATGTAGGGGTGACGCTTAATGCGCCATTAGAATGAAAAAAGGAAGGAGATGGGGATTTATAACGCGCTTATGTAAGCGACGCTGCTTAAGCCGCGACGTCTCACGGTAAATCCACGACGAAATATCGCAGAGGAGAGCAACCGGCGAATGTGCGAAGGTAGTTAGCTCTCCATAACATAGAAGCTGGGCCGGTTTCGCTGTCAGTCCAGGGCCTGTACAATACGACCCGGTACGCACGCATAGATACGTTTCTCGGGGGCCCGATCGCGTGATCGTAAGTGCTCCCTCCCCCGAACATGTACATATATGTGTGTATTTTAGAAATACGATGGAGCAACGAATACCCCGCATCTTCAAAACGTATCTCTCGATTATATCGTGAAAATTTTCTAATATTTTACATATTACTTTGGCTTATTTATTACCTAGCCAAATATAAAAAAAGAAACAGGCAAAAAAATTTAGGAACAAGATATCCATTATTATTTTGATACTAACAAGCTCGTAAAATATCAAATTATGTACTAAAGATAAAAAAGACTATGTAATTTATATAAAAATTATGCAATTTTATGATATGAACAAAAATTACATTTATAAGTATTTGTTTAAAGAAGATCTGAACTCTTTATATTATCAATTTCTATCATGTATATCACCTCTCTTTTTTTTTCAATAAAAAACGAGTAAAAAAATCAAAGTTTTTATGACAAAAATGACATCATAATTATGTTATATAATTGGTCAAAATCATACGCGAGTTATTTCGTCGCTTTTTCAACGATAAACAGAGTACGATGGAGTATATCCTCCGCTCGCGGAGGATCATCTTGTGCCCGCGGCGAGATGGTACGCACGTTTGTGTGTCCGAGCGTACAAACTGGCCGCTCGCGCGCGCGTCGATCGTGGCGCAGGATGGATGTTTGTGTACGTATGTACGTGTGCGTTTGTTCGTGGGGAGCGGTGGCTAGGTCACGGTCAGGGCGATGCCCTCTTCCCTTGGGAGAAAGAGAGGAGGCCGTCGCCGCCGCTGTGTGCGATGCTTGAAGCTGCCTCTCGCTGCTGGGCCACGCG